CACTGCTATACATAGCATGCCTGGGATGAATTGACCTTTTGGGTTGTTCCCGGGGGGTGGAGCCCAGGAGCAGAGCTGGTGGGTCAGAGATGGACTACATTGGGAGCCTTGTTCCTGCTGCAGGCTGTGCAGCAGGACCAGGCATGGGTCTGGGTACACCACCAGCTTTGGGTACTTAGGATCTGATGTTGCTCTTTGCTACCTTCATAAATTCAGATGTTGTGGTGCTCTCAGAGTCTAGGACATTGCACTTGGTCTCTTTAAGTCCTGTCCAGAGCCCTTTAAAGTCATAACATTAAGTTAAACCAAAGCTGGACACAGGGGCATACATCATCCCAGCCCCTCAGCAAGGTTGAGGAAGGAGGATTGCAAGTTCCAGACCAGCCTGGGCAATTTAGCAAAGTTCAACATAAAATAAAAGGGCTAGGATGTAGCTTAGTGGTAGAGTGCCGCAGGGGTCAGTCCCCAGCACTCATCTCTGCACACAAGGTTGAGCCCAGCTGCCAGTGCCAGGATTCATGTTGACCTTAAAAGAATAGAGAGGACATGGGGCTGGGGTTGTGTCTCAGTGGCACAGCGCTCACCTAGCATGTGCGAGACGCTGGATTTGATCCTCAGCACCACTTAAAAATAAATAAATAAAATAAAGGTATTGTGTCCAACTACCACTATATATATATATATATATATATATTAAGAATAGAGAGGACAAGGGGCTTGCTCGGCACCCCTTGACTGAGGCTGCGCCATGTGCCCCTCAGCCCCACGTGCCCCCAGATGCCCTCAGTTGCTCTCTGTTGTCCCCAGGTATCCCTGGTGGCACCCCCATACCCCATCTGGGTCTCGAGGCCAAGCAGTGGGTGAAGTTGCTGAGGGAGTGGCCTGTGCTAGAGGCCTGCTGGGGGGCTGTGCTGCCCACCAGGTCACCCTGGTGCCCCCACTGCTCACCCCCCTGAGGAGTGCCATCGGTGGGTCCTCTGCCTTCCTGCTGAGCTGTGGAGTTGTCTTTTTTCCTAACTTTCTTCCTTTCTTGTGGGTGTGTATGATGCTGGAGATGGAGTTCAGGGGTACTCTACCACTGAGCTGTACCCTGTCCTTGGTATTGTGTATTTTGAGACAGGGCCTCACTGTGTTGCCGAGGCTGGCCTGGGACTTGGGTCCTCCTGCCTCAGCCTTTGCAGTAGCTGGAATCACAGGTGTGGCCCTGCAGAAAAGGGTAGTGTTTACAGAGTCACTGCTGCTTATGCCTGGCCTCCTGGGGTGCGTTGCCACAGGACCAGACAGGCTCTTCCAGCGGGAGTTTCTTCTTGATGGGTTCTGGCAGCCAGCTCTGAGGCCGAAGTGTTGAGGGGCAGCCCTCCTGAGGGCTGCAGGCCAGGCCCCTCATCTGTGGCCCGTCCTCTAGCCCAGCCTCTGTGGCTGTCTTCATGCAGCCTTTCTGTGCATCTGTGCCCACAATCCCCCTTTGCATAGGGACCCCTGCCTGCCTCACCCCACTCAGTTGGGAGAGGCCTAGATTCCTTTTTGGAGCCACAGTGCAGGCCTTGCACCCTCCACCCTGCTCCAGCCCAGCATGAGGGAGGGTCCTGCTCCACCTGGTGGGGCCCGGGGCATGCTGTAAGCTTCCCTGTGCTGCGCCGTCTTCCACTGCCTCATGCTATTCACCTCCAGCCCTCGACCTAGGACCAAGGACCTTGCCATCTTGTTTTATTTTTATCAGCACTTTAAAAAAGGATGTTTTGAGATATTCTTGGGTTAAAAATGTACAGTTTTGGTATTGCAGGTTTAATGTGATGAAGGCATGGTAGTTTTTTGACCTGATTGTGTACATGGAACCTGTGTGGTATTGAGGCGTGGTCCCTGGGCTGAGAGGCCCCAGCTTCAGTAGCGGGGCAGGGCAGCTCAGGCAGCACTGGACAGCAGGTGTGCTGCTAGTTTAAGGACAGAGTGGCTGGGGCACCCAGGAGGGCTTCCTGGAGGAGGCAGGGCCGGTGTCTGGAGGGGTTTCTGCTGCCTCTGATAGGGCTGAGCTGCCCTTCAAACTCTGTGACCCGAGGGTGAAAGTCAGCTTTAGGAGCCAGGTTCAAGGCCAGGAGCACCTCGGAGCCCAGGCAGTAAGAGCTGGTCTCTTCTTTTTTTGGAGCCCTGCCCCCAATGGACACACCAGGCACAGGGCCTGAGCCTGGTCACTGGCTAACCCTGAGGAGGATTTTCTGGGCCAGTGCCCTGGGCTGATCCTTTTCCGTCTTCTTCACCTGAGGGCCTGGACCTGGGCCACTTGCCCATGGGGCAGAGCCCGAGTCAGGATGTGAGGGTCCTGGGCAGTGGCTGCCTGTGTGGGCAGGTTCCCCTCATAGTAATGGGCTGCGGCTTGAGCCTCACTCCTGTCCTGTGGCTCCTCATCCTTGGATGTCCCAGTCATTGAATGCTGGCCAGCTGGTGCTCTCTGCTTCCTGCCGTCCTGCCACTGCTTCCTGAGCAGCCCAGGCTCAGGGCTGGAGGCAGCCCTCGCGCTCATGCTGGGAGCCGCCAGCTTTGCTAGCTCAGCCATGTGGATTGGGCTTTTCTGCACTGAAAGGCCAGGCTGGCCCTTAGCACTCAGACTTGGTGGGCTGCCTGGGTGCCCGCCTTTCTCCATCATGGAGTCAGTCCAAACATGCTTAGGAATGCCCAGGGTCACTTCTGCCTCACATTCTTCGTTGGTGGGGAGTCTGAGGCTGCAGTCAGGCCTGGAGGCCACCAATGTCAGAGCTGAGGCTCCGTGGGGTGCTGTGAGACCACCTGTGCCCTGCAGCACAGGTGCGGTCCCTGCCTCTCCCTGTCCTCCACAGCACCTTCATGCTGACTGGGCCCCTGCTGCTCACTGGCCTCAACTGGAGTCTGCCTATAGGTGGGTGGTGTCAGGCTGTGGGCCCTGCTGGAGGTTAGGCTGAGCCCTGGGACTGGGCTGGCTCCCCGTCTCACCTGGGCTGGTGTCTGTTAATGATATCGGACTACGTCATTTAAAACAATCTGAACCCAGGGCCTTGTACCCCAGGCCAGCGCCCTGCCACTCAGCCACATCCCTACCCCTAAGGATGCTGCATGCAGCCATGAGCGGAGGCCATGTGGTGCCTGTGAATCGTACCTTATGCCGTCACGTGGCAATGCACACGCATCTCCGTCTTGAGCTTTCCAGAACAGCGCAAGCTGTGAGCACCCAGGAAGTGCCTTGAGAACTGAGCCCTGCCCAGCTGCCAGGCCGTGCCAGGGAGCTGCTGGGTGAACGGGGCATAGCCTCCCTGCTTTTCCTCCTGCGGACAGCCTGCTGGGGTCTGCTGACCCTGCAGACCAGGAGGACACATCCCAGGCTGCCGCACAGTCAGCTGAGAGGAACCCTGCATTCCCCCCCTCCTCTCCCTCCTCCCCCTCCTCCTCCTCCTCCTCCTTTCTTCTTCTTCCTTCTTTCTTCCTTCTTCTTCTTCCTCCTTCCTCTTCCTCCTCCTCCGCTTCCTCCTCCTCCTCCTCCTCAGGGTCTGGCTAAGTTGCCCACCTACAACTAAAAAATAAGTTTAAAAAAATAATGAGGCTGGGGATGTGGTTTAGCGGGAGCGTGCTCGCCTGGCATGCGAGGGGCGCTGGGTTCAATCCTCAGCACCACATGAAAATAAAATAAAGATGTTGTGTCCACCGAAAAATAAATATTAAAAAATTCTCTCTCTCTCTCTCTCTCTCTCTCTCTCTCTCTCTCTCTCTCTCTCTCTCTCTCTCTCTCTCTCCAGTCACTGGGTGTGGTAGCCTTGTAATCCCAGGGACTCCAGGGAGAGTGAGACAGGAGGATTGCAAATTCAAGGTCAGCCTCAGTAATTTAGTAAGACCCTGTCTCAAAATAAAATAAAAAAGGCTTGGGATGTGGCTTAATGATAAAACGCCCTTGGTAGAATCCCCAGGACCAAAAACAACTCCAAAGCAAAGGAACACAAAACAATGACTCTAAGAAGAATGGACTTTTTCCTGAATGTGCCTAGTGACCAGACCCAGGGAGGAGTCGGCCTTCAGGCCTGGCCAGCAGGGGGCGCCTGAGGCCATAGCTCCTTGTCCCCTGGTCTGGGCTCTGAGTGTGAGATGCAGTTTGGGTGGGACAGACCTGCATGGAGGTTAGAACAAATCACCTTCCTGGTGGAGCTGCTTAGGGCCCAAGGGAAAGAGCGCCCCCATCCTACATCTGCATCAATATTCTGAGCACACAACTCTGCAAAAAGTCCCTGCTAAGCAGTCTTCAGGCACAGTGGCCATGCTCGTCATCTTGGAGTCTTGGGAGGCCAATGCAGGAAGATTCTCAAAATAAAAATAAAGTGGGCTGGGTGTTTGGCTCATTGGTAGAGCACTCTGAGTTCAATCCTCAGTACTGGACAAAAGAAAAAAAAAAGAAGAGGGATGTCATTCTTGCAGGAAATAAAATAATGCAGCTGCGACTCCTGGGTTTGAAGCGAGGCACTGACGTTTCTGGTGTCAGTGGCATGGCTTGCGGAGCTGTGGTCCGTCCCTCCACATCAGTTAGCCTGAGCACATGGAGCCACTGGCTTAGGCCTCTGAGTTGCTGGGGTTACAAGTGTGCCCCATGGCAGCCCACAGTTGGGGTCATTTAGCCTAGATTTTCAGTTTAGCCGGAGAGTTGGCCCATCTACTTACTGAAGGGTGACCTTATTAATTCTGGGTCACGTTGGTTCTGTGTGGGGATTCTTTTCAGCACCGGTGTCCATTATGAGCCTGGAAACGGGCCTTAGATGTCCTGCTGGGTAGGGTCAGCGCCCACTTGCTGCCTGCTACCCTTCGTGGGGAGGGTGGATGCCTCCTGCACACCTGTGCTCCAGGTGTGTGGATAGCCTCGCTGGCAGTGCTCATCCCCTCTGTATGCGGGGTTTTCGTGGCCACTGTGCTGGCTGCTGGCCTGTACCGTGGCCGGCCACAGTCCCTGTCCACCTGGGCTGCATGGGTAACTCTTCTGTCTTGCCCCACAGAGTCTGTAGAAGAGGCAACACCAAGACTTCCCAATGAACAACCGAAAGGAAGATATGGAAATCACGTCCCACTACCGGCAGCTGCTTCGCGAGCTCAACGAGCAGAGGCAGCACGGCGTCCTGTGCGACGTGTGCGTCGTGGTGGAAGGCAAGGTCTTCAAGGCCCACAAGAACGTGCTGCTGGGCAGCAGCCGCTACTTCAAGACGCTCTACTGTCAGGTGCAGAAGACGTCTGACCAAGCCACCGTCACCCATCTGGACATCGTCACTGCCCAGGGCTTCAAGGCCATCATTGACTTCATGTACTCAGCCCACCTGGCCCTCACCAGCAGGAACGTCATTGAGGTGATGTCTGCCGCCAGCTTCCTGCAGATGACGGACATTGTGCAGGCCTGCCATGACTTCATCAAGGCTGCTCTGGACATCAGCATCAAGTCGGACGCTGCTGACGAGCTCGCAGAGTTTGAGATCGGCGCCCCGGCCGGCAGCAGCACAGAGGCGCTGATCTCTGCTGTGATGGCTGGCAGGAGCATCTCTCCGTGGCTGGCGCGGCGCACAAGCCCCGCCAACTCTTCCGGAGACTCAGCCATTGCCAGCTGTCACGAGGGGGGCAGCACCTATGGGAAGGAGGACCAGGAGCCCAAGGCCGAGGGCCCCGACGACGTGTCCTCGCAGTCCCTGTGGCCTGGAGACGTGGGCTACGGGCCTCTGCGCATCAAGGAGGAACAGATATCGCCTCCTCACTATGGAGGGCGCGAGCTGCCTTCTGCCAAGGACAGCACGATGCCGAGCTCTGCCTCAGAGCCGGGAGCCGGCGACGGCTGGCAGCCCACGGGCCGCAGGAAGAACCGGAAGAACAAAGAGACGGTGCGGCACATCACGCAGCAGGTGGAGGAGGGCAGTGGGGCCGGCTCCCCCTCGCCCGCCTTCCTCCCCACGCCCGGGTGGCCCTTCGGCAGCCGGGACTCAAGTAAGCGTTTCCTTTGCCACGTCAGGTCCACACCCAGTGCCCGGCGCCCGTGGCCTCGTGGCCATGGGTGGAGTGGCGTGGTCACTGGTGCATGCTGGGGGCTTTCTGCGGTCTCCCCGTCTCATAGGGAGTCAGGGTTCCCACGGGAACATAAGTGACGGGGCTCAGGCTGGGGCGACTGGTGTCTGGGAGCTGCTGCCTGTCCGTTCCCATCGTGCTCCACCAGTGGCCACCCGGGGCGGGGCTCCTCCAAGGCCGGGGACCAGGTGAGGGGTCTGTGGGTGGATCGGTGGGGAGGGTCCTGGGGAAGCTCTTCAGCCCCGTGTGGGGTGTGGGTCCAGCTGCTTCCTCTTGTTTATGGTGACTGAAGGGGTCATTCAAGGGGTCACTCGCCTGTCATCAGAGTGCCTGTGGGACCCAGGCTGTCCCCTCAGCTGCTGCAGCAGTGCTGTGGCCCTGGGCCTGCCGCAGGATGCAGGATCCGTATTTGCTAAGTGTGGTTCCCAGCCAGGCTAATAGGGGCTGCCGCATGCTGGGGGCTCCGTGACCCGCACAGGCCCTCTGCCCTGCTTTCCAGGGCCCTGCAGCCACGCATGGGAGCTGGGCTTCAGCCTGCATGGCCATGTGCTGTCCGTCTCCCAGCATGGAAGACAGTGAGCTCCCTGTTCGTGCTGGGGCTGCTCCTGGTGCCGAGCACCCCGCAGTAGCCTCTGCCTGTGCTGCATGTCCTCTGAGCGGCAGGTGGGGCTCCCACTGTCATTCCTCCCAGGCCCAGGCCAGAAGGGCACTGATCAGAGCACAGGTGGCCATTGCCTTCTCAGGGAGGCTGCCAGGATGGTTAGCATGCACCTGGGTACATGTGAGTGGACAGAGGGGTTCATGGGGCAGACACCATGGGGCCCAAAGCCTGCAAAGGTGCAGCCGGAGCCAGGCGAGCTGGTGGGCGGGCGGGAGGGCTGGCTGGGTGGGTGGACATGGGCCCTAAGCTCCTCCTCTCCTTAACGGAAGCCTCGGGAGCTGGGAGTGCTGTAGAGGGTTCCTGAGGCCAGGTCTCCACACTGGCCGGATCAGTGCAATAAAACGTACACGGCATGAACCTTACTGGGTGACCACTTGTTCTTTTTGGCATTGAGGATTGAACTCAGGGGCGTTTAACCACTGTGCCACACCCCCAGCCTTTTTATCTTTTACTTAGAGACAGGGTCTTGCTGAGTTGCTTAGGGCCTTGCTATGTTGCTGAGGCTGGCTTTGAACTCACGATCCTCCTGCCTCAACCTCTGGAGCTGCTGGGATTACAGGCTGGCGCCAGTGTGCCCAGGGACCTCACAACCACTTTTAAGTGCACAGTTCACTGGGAGGTCACACTATTGTGCCATGTCATTGCTCTACATCCAGAACTTACTTCACTGGGTGCTGGGGTGGAGCCCAGGAGCCTGCTGGGCCGATGCTGTGCCCCGAGTCCCCTCCCCCCAGCTCAGTAGCACTTTTTTATCATCCCAAACAGAATTCTGTCCACCTCACAGGACCTGCCGTGGGCCCTGTCAGAATCCACCAGCTGTGGAATGCTGTTGTTCACCACGCACTCTCTGTTCCTAGCCTTCACACTGAGCCTCCAAGGCAGGGCCCAGCTCACCACGTTCAGCTGAAGTCGATTTAATTCAGGGTTTCCCTTTTCTGTGGGGATGTCCTGAGCACAGTGGATGTAGAGCAAGTCCCTGGCTTCCACCCAAGATGCCAGTGTCACCTGTCCCCCAGGCGTGACAGTGCAAGGGTTACGTGACATGGACAAATGTCCTGAGAAGGTCCTCCACCACTGGTGCTGAGCTGAATAGAGTCAGGTGAGTGTCCCTGCTGTGCCTATGGGGAGGTACCCACAAGAGCAGACACGTCAGTGACTCACTTCTGCTCCTAGCTTTGTTTTACAATCGTCTACAGCTCTGACAAAGCCCCTGGAGAGTGACTAGCCTCCATGGGCACGGTCTGACATGCACAGACGCACCAAGGCCCCCGTGGGTGGTGAGTCGCCTGCAGGTGACAGTTCTGGGGGCCTTTGTGTCACAGAGCTGTCAGCGGGTTAGGAAGCAGCACGCCCCTCACGCCTGCTGGCTGGACGTCTCCACAGTTGGGGAGCAGGTGTTTCCAGATTCCAACAAGTGACTGCGGCTGTGGACTTTCCTTTGCGTCTTCAACCCTTAGGTTTCCAAGGCAACTGTGAGCCGCTCCTGCCAGCAGATTCCCAGTGCTGAAGCGTGGGCGTGGGATGTGGGCCTGGGCTGGGCATGGGACCTGGTGGCCAGTCGTTCCTGAGCTTCTGTCCTCTGCTCTGGCCCCCCGCCTGGGATTCAGAGGTGTGAGTCGTAGTCCCTTAGGGAGGTCAGCTCATTTTCTTTGAAGGTTTATTGTATCCTAGGGAGGATTCTCCCCTCTCCCTCCACCTGGAGGAAGGAGAAAGGCTCTTTCCTAAGGAAACGTGTTGGGTGGTTACTGCAAGTCGTCAGGGCATCGGCCAGATCGTGGACGCCCAGCCCTCCTGCCAGCTCACTCACCCTTTCTGCTCTGTGTCCCCTTGGCTCGTGGTGCCCCAGGACCTGTTGGCCATTAGGAGCAGTTCTCCAAGTACAAGGTCCCATGTGTTCTGACCTAGCCGCTCTGAAGACAGAGTATTCCACTGTCCCCCTGTGAGAGCGTCTGGGACAGCACTGGGCAGGACAGAGCCGCCATGCAGCCCTGGCACAGTCAGGGCTCTGGCCAGGCCTGCCCTGCTGGCGTCAGCTTTCTGGGGCTCTGCCTCACTGCCCCGTCTGCAGAGGACAGCGACCTCAGTGGTGGCCGGTGGAGAGGAAGCTGCTGATTCAGGAATGGCGGAGGAGCAGCCCAGGGCCCCGTCCAGGGTTCTGCAAGACTGAGGTCCTGTAAGCTGAGAGCTGTGGCACACACCTGTCACCCCAGGAGCCTGAGGGACGGAGGTAGGAGGCTCCCAAGTTTCAGGACAGCTTGGGCAACTTAGCAAGACCCTGTGTCAAAATAAAATAAAAGGCTACGATGTAGCTCAGTGGCAAAGTGCCCTTAGGTTCAATCCCCAGTACTGAAAAAATAAATAAAGCCTTGAGGTTTTGTGTGTGTTTTTGTTTGTTTGATTGGTTTTTTGGTACTAGGGATTGAACCCGGGGTACTTACCCACTGAGCCAAATCCCCAGTCCTTTTTTGTATTTTGTTTAGAGACAGGGCCTCGCTAAGTTGCTGAGGCTGGCTTTGAACTCGCGATCCTCCTGCCTCAGCTGTCGGAGCTGCTGGGATTGAGCCTTTAGCTTTTTTCTAGCTAGAGCACAGTTGTGGTTCTGTAGAACACACGTCTGTGCTGAACTTCAGTGGTGTTCAGTGACGTTGGAACTCGTGGCATCGGGACTTTCATGACCACACTGGGACCACAGAACACCCAGTTGGTAGGTGGGTCCCTGGAGGCTCCCGTGTCACCCTTGTCATGGCAGCCTCCAATCCTGCTTGGGGTGGGGAGTGGGCAGCGCCAGCTCCCAGACCTGGCTCCTCTTGGCCTCTGCCAGTCCCAGCCTCCTTAGTCTCCCTTCCAAGCTCTCTTCAGCCTCCTGGTGCTCCTGCTGGAGATGAAGTGAGGGAAGCCAGGGGCATCAGAACCTGACCAGATCACACAGGCGCAGACTGACCGACTTCCAGAAGCTGTGGGCCTGTGGGTTTGTCTCTGTGTTGCATTGGGTGCAGGCTTCGCGAAGCAGCTATAGACAGGAAGGGCTCACTGAGCCAGGTGCAGCCTGCAGGGCCCGGTCAGGCTGAGCCGGCTCCACTCTGCCACCTAGGTGAGGATGCACTAATGGTGCTGAGCAGAGGGACAGGAAGGCAAAAGCAGGAGCCAGATGCTCGTGGGGTAGAGGGGGCATCTGCTTCACATGGGAGCAGGCAGGTCGCTGCTTGTGCCAACTGAGCTGAGGGTCCAGTGGACTCTGGCCTCTCATCTGGGGTGGGTGTGCTGAGCTGGGGCTCAGGACCTCCACTCTGGCTGTTCTGACTGAGCCACAGGGACTTCTGCTGCCTACCTGCTCCTTCAGGCTGAGCTCACATGCAAGGGCCTGTCGTTGCCACTTTCTAGGAAACATGATGCATACAAGGGTGAGTCCTGAGGGGTCTTGTGGGCATCAGCTCAGCTTACTAGTGGCCTGACTGCTCAGCAGAGCACCTGGCGGAGCTGGGAGGACGCCTGGTCCCCAGGCAGAGGCAGATCAGCCTGGGCTGAGGAGGGGCCAGGCTGGCCTGCTCTGGGACACCGCCTGGCTCTGGCCTGCGGACAGTGGGAGGTACAAGGGTCAGGAAAGTCGCCCTCTGCTGAGCAGCACTTTGTGGTAGTGGCTTTTGTGATACTGGGGACTGAACCCAGGGCCTCTGCATGCTAGGCGAGCACTCCACCACTGAGCCACCTCCCCAGCCCCTTTGGCTTTTTATTTTAGGACAGGGTCTCACTAGTTGCCCAGGCTGGACTTGAATTGCAGTCCTCCTGCCTGTGCCTCCCGAGTAGGTGGGGTCACGGGGTCGTGGGTCACTCCCAGCACATCTGAGAACTCTTGTCACTGCTTTCTTGGAAAATGTGAGGGTGAGAAGAGCCCAAGTTCAAGGCCAGCCTCAGTAAAAGCAAGGCGCTAAGCGACTCAGTGAGACCCCGTCTCTAAGTAAAATATAAAATAGGCTGGGGATGTGACTCAGTGGGTAAGCACCCTGGGTTCAATCCCTAGAACCCCCCCCCAAAAAAAAACTGTTTGGGGGGTGCACAGCGGGTATGTGCAGCCAGTGTTGGGCACCCTAGCAAATACTGTGTGCACACAGGCGGACAGAGATGCATGTCACTCAAAAATGTCTTTGAGGCCCCTCAGAGTAAGCATGCAGACTTTTATTTAATATTTATTTTTTAATTGTAGGTCAACACAATATCTTTATTTTATTTTTATGTGGTGCTAAGGATCGTACCCAGTATCTCA